TTCTATTTTATATTCTGCTTCATGAGACATGTGTTGCAATTATGAGTAAACAAATGAATATAATAGCTAATTATTTAGAACTTCGCTTATCAGTCGGGTGGCGTTGTGTTGGCCTTCACTATTATGAATGAATTGAATTGTAGTGAATGCGCGACGGATGCTGTGAGTACGTTAGACGCGTCATTTGGGTGTGTAGAGCAAGTGTGAAAGTGCTTAGTATTGAAAGAAAAAAAATCACTAAAATCTTTTGATGATTTTAAGTGCTCGTAAAATGTTGGAAAAAAGTAGAAATATATTTTTTCCGAGTAATTATTATCACTTTTTTGAATACTGAAATTCTATACGCAAATGTCGTCATATTTTCCCTATTTCTGCTGTTAGTGCGCTGTTGTTAACTAAAAAGCGCTTAGCACTAAGTAAATGCTTTTTACTAGCAGAATATATTGCGTGTTCTCTATATATGTATGTATATATAAATACATAAAAATAATATGTAGTAAATAAAAGTATTTATCAATTTCATGATCAGCTGCATTAGCAATCTTAAAATATAAACTTAATTATTCAAAACGTTTAAATTTTATTATAAACAACGCAAAACTGTAAGATCATGCATTTTACATGTTTTTCTTTAAAAAAAATTTGAACCGGTTCGAACCGGTTGAAATGGTTATTGCACAATTTGGGCAGCTGTTGTGAAGTAAAAATTAAAAATCCAATAGCAATAAAAAATATTTCAAATTTTTATAATCAGTAGCATTAAACTATACTCCGGACCAACTAAAATAGTAAAAAAAATTTATTAACACTTCAAAACTACCAGATCATGCATTTTACGTGTTTTTCTACAAATAAAACTTAAACCGGTTCGAACCGGTTGAAACGGTTGTTTTACAAATTTACTGTTTTTTTCTAAATAATTACCAAAAAATGTGTATTAGTAGTAATTTTTCACATATTAGCTTTAAAACCTTCATTACTTCAGCTAAAATTTTAAGTGTACTAAATGCATTAAATATTATATATGTATGTATCAAATTTTATTTAATTAAAGTCAAGAGATATAATAATCGCAGTTCTCGAAACATTTGAAATATTCAAAAGTCAGTTTTACGCATAAAAAAAATTCGTGGAATATTTTTGTTTCTTTTTATTTACACTTGCTCGCGACACAAGCAATTTATTGGGATTTCATTTTAATTTGAGGTTGTGGGTCAAGCTAATAACAATAAAGCTGACACACATACAAATGCGCAATATACGCAACTGTTTTCGCTGTTTTTATTACATTTGCCCCGCATACATGTTTACAGCGTTCAGCAAAACAGCTTTACAGTAAAAATATAAACAAACAAAAAGTCCCGCAAGTGAGTCAGTCGGCGAGTGCCGCACTTCAAATTAAAACAGTTGTATTTTAATAATGTTATTTAAAACAATAACAATTAAACGAAGTACGGTACTAGGCGGCAGGCAGCACCGCAAAACCAAAGCGCAAGTGAGTCAAAGGTTGGATGGGCTCAACCAGAACACCCCCAGCGTCCCATGAGGCGGCCAAGGGGGATTTCATATACATATACAATTATTGATTGATTGATTGATGCAATATGCAGCTAATTATTGGAAATTATAGCAGTAAACAAAGTAAATATGGCACAGCAAATGTTCTAGATTAAAACTGTAATTAATACAACAACGTGCTACTTGCTGAAGCAGGTTCGTTGAAAGTGTTGCAGCGGAGTAAAAACGATAGCTTTAATATGCATACATACACATACATATGCTTACAAATGTAAATATGTGCGCACATACAAACATAAAAAGCCACACACACGCATGCGCTGCTATAAATGGTCGGCATTCGTCTGTCGGCGACTACTGTCGAACGACGTGTCGCGGCTTCTTGGTCATTGCCTCAATTTACGTTGCGATTTGACATTTTTGTGTGGTTTTTGCTGTTGTTGTACAACCAATACAGGCAGGTTTTGCATAAATTGTAAGGCATGCGTCAGCGCATTTGCGTTTTTATTGATTCGCTAATAAATATTCAACCTTTTAAATGTTTAATTCTGTAGCATGTGTTAGTGTGTGTGTGTGTGCTGATTAGCGGTTCAGCATACTGACACACTGCTGGAGGTGGGTCGTTGCGTGCACTGTGCGCGGAGCCTGATTGCGAGGCTGGTTTTGAAATTTTGCGGTTTGTGATTTTGGTAACTTTCGTTTCGTTTCGCACATATTTGCTAAAAGGTTTAATTTCGAAATAAGCCAATCAACTTTTGAAATGAAAACAATGATGTTTAAACCCAATTTTTTATAAATATATCATTTTTCGAGTGGCATACGCTTTTACGTGCTTAAAAACAGAAAATTCTGTGAAACGGTTCGAACCGGTTGAATCGGTTATGAAACGGTTCATAACTTTTTGCGCACAAAACGCTTTAATAGTGGATAATATGTTAAAATAGTAAAAAAAATTAGAGATTAGAGAAATAAAACTAACGAAAACTCAATTTTAGCTAAATACTAAATATTTGCAATAAATATATACTTTTAACAAGCTAATTGCTTCAAAATCATTAACTTTACTTATGTATAAATACTGCAATTAGCAACAAATAATGGGTAGATAGGCGCAGCGCAAAAAGTGCGAGCAACGCCCCTCGGTTGAACATCAATGGGTGCAGCTGGCAGCTAAATTACACTCAACAAGTTACACCTGTTCCTGCAAAACTGTATTTGCATATGCATTTAATGCCGAAATTTGTATAAACCCATCACCACGGCCCTATCAGTTTCATTAATATGCTTTCAGTTTGGTATTTTTTTTATTGTTGTATTTCTAAAGTGAGTAAAATAATTTTGAACTGCAAAAAATTTGCATGCCAAACACATTATCCTTAATTGCGACTGAGCCGCTTGTGGAGACTACATAAACTAAATGTATGTGTGTATATAAAAGTCGTGTGGAGTTAAGCAAGTTTTAAAGCAAGCGCTTGGGAACATTTTTGAAAAAGTTTTTTGAGAATTTTTTTGCACCTTGCAAACCTGCCTTCGAGCACTTTCAGTTGTGGGCTTCCACGAATTGATACAGTTTTTGTTTTTTGTGGAGGTTGTTGGCTTCCCTGTGGTGAACTTGAAAACTCATCGCTGCCACATTGCAATAACAGTATGCACATGAATTTACAAATATACCAGCACATGTTAAATACAATTGTGTACTGAGTTGCGACGGCGGCTGGCTTATTACGGAGAGTTGAAAAATTTGTTTTTATTTTTGGTAGTATCAGGTTTACATATGGATAACATAATCTGTTCACAGTTTCGAAAACGTATAGCACAGAAAAAATTTGGAAATTAAGTGTTTTGACTTTCGAAATATGCACATAAAAAATTTAATATTTTGACCTTCTCAACGTTAAGAATAAGCGAACCGGTTGAATCGGTTATGAAAAGGTTTTTATTCTTTTGGAATTTTAGTTCCTCCAGCAACTAAAAAATAAAAATTTCCTTTAAAAAAACCTTGTTGTGGTAAAAAATATATAAAATATTTTAATAACGTAGTCACAGCGCAATTAGAATTCGGTATTGTGTTTTTCATTAATTTCACTAAAATTAGGCGAACCGGTTGAATCGGTTATGAAACGGTTTTTTCTGATACATAATTATTTTGCTAAACTTGTTGAATATTACAGCAATATAATTTCGCATAATGAAAATTATCGCTAAAATACTAGCAAGTATTGACATTTTTTTTTTTTTTTGTTGTCTACAGTCATATATATCTATCAAAACTCTTCGGGAACTACCGTAATTAAGCCAAAATAGCAAATTTTATTGTGAATTTATTTTTTAAATTTAATTAATATATTTTAAACCCGTTTCAATGCTCGAATAGTTTCTAGGCGACTTTCAACGGAAATGTGACTTTTACGGCCTATATTTTGGCTTCGTTTAAGTGCAAATCGCCATAACAGAAATTATTTTGAGCATCACTGGCGCTTCGCTAAAGTGAGAGTGACGGAAATGACGACCCACAATTTCCTGCTGGCTCAGCTTATATAAATATAGAAATCGGAATCTTGTCTTAATTAAAATAATAAAAAAATTATAATTAAATCTCGTTGTTTTAACAGATTTGTTGCACAAACAGGTTTCAGGTGTAATTACATCTGTTATATAATTATATTTTATAATAAAATATATGTAACTATTATAATAAAACAAATTAAAACAAATTATCGCACAGACCGTTCCACCGCCTGCTTGGTGTGAATTGTAAATGAGCCGTCACCTGCTAAGCTCGAACGCTTAGCAGCACGTTAAATAACGCATTAATTCTTCGTTTGCCGCCGACACCGCGCCGGCACCAAGTAGTCAAGCAGCCAAACTGTTAATGGCTCATAGCGCCCGTTTAATAGACGAATCGCTAGCGTGCTGCTGGCACGTCGTTAAGCGGGAGTTAAATAGTTGTGGCTTTGAGTCACGGCCAAGCCCTGAAAGCGCAGACGTTAACGCGCACGACGACGACGAATCAGCAAACGCGTTCGGTCAGCTATATAACGATTAAATTTATTGCTTGGGATTTTTAATTGTAAAACGTTTTGTGTTTTTTTGGGCTCCCGCAAGCTGCGCGCCGATTAACTTGTATTGTTGTCATACGAAAAATAAACAACGCAGATTAACGGCGCACGGCATGCCTTGCTTTGATAGTAATGTATGCGCAGACGCGTAGGCGGCGCAAACTTGTTTCGAGACGGAATTATTTCCATTGTTTATTTCTAGTATTTGCCTGGAGGCAGTTTCACTATTTCTAGCTTTGGAGTTTTATCTTTTGTTGTCTGCTCGACAACGAAATAATTAAGTTATGCAAATTGCTGTCGCAGCCAATGTGAGAGCCCAATTTATTAACGTTTAGTAATTTATTAGTTACTAGGATTTAAGTTTTTGCAAAACAAAGCTTTGACTTGACTAATTTTTAACTTTTCTATTTCTTTACCCAACAGGTTCACCCAATTCCAACGATCGCGATGCTGGCTTCTGCTCCGGCAGTTCTGAGGGCGGCGACGATCTCGACCGCATGGAGCATGCGCGCCTCGAAAGCAGCAGCAGTCCTACCAGCCCCACCGATGCGACAACAGAGCCCTCCGAGGATTCCGTTGAAGTCAAAGTCACGCCAATTGCGCTCGTGCGCAATAAACGTAAAAGTTCGGAACCCTCTAAGGTGGTTGATGCAAGCGCGACGTCTGTTGCGACGGGCGCGCATGTGCCTGCACTCGCCACGGCGCCATTGAAGAAACGTATACGTTATACCTCGACGACAGATTCGGCAGTGGTGTTGACTCCGCCAGCGCTTGCGACACCGCCACTACCGCACGGCATCTGGGATCCTAGTCAAGTATTACCTCATGAATTGATGCCAAATCCAGCGCAGGTGTTCGTGCGACATCCGGGCGTCACGACACTGCACCGCATACCAGCCGCCACCGTCGAAGAGCAATTGGAGCCGCTAGCGCTAGTTGCCAAGAAACCGACCCCCTCAACTAGTGTTAAGGTTGACTGCGAGCAAGCGCATACATATGCGCACGCGCCCACCAAGTGCACGCCTGCCAGCGAAGGGTCGGCGCCGTCCGTTTATGTGCCGAAGAAGCAACAGGCAACCGCAAATAGTCAACTAAAGTTTCATGTCAACAGCGAGTCCGTACCGCTGGCGTTAACGACGAGCGCGCATCACTTGAACGTTGCGCGGGATGAGCATGCGCAGCAACAACATGCAAGCGCTAATGGCAGCGCGTTGCAATACAATAAACCCGGCAGCGCAGCGGATGAGACGCCCAGCGGTAGCGGCGGCAGTATTGGTAGTGGCAGCGCGCGTCCGCAACAACGTAACTATAAGAATATGACACGCGAAAGACGTATCGAGGCGAATGCGCGCGAACGCACGCGCGTGCATACCATTTCCGCGGCATATGAGACGCTGCGACGCGCTGTGCCTTCCTATTCGAATGCGCAGAAACTGTCAAAGCTTTCGGTGCTGCGCATCGCTTGTTCCTACATTTTGACATTGAGCCGCATGGCTGGTGAGGATTACAGCGCTGATGGTTCCGAGCCATCGCTGGCCGATTGCTTCGATGCGGTCACCGAAACCATACAGACTGAGGGCAAGATCAGAAAGAAAAAGGACGAATAGGCGCTAAGCGGGGATAAAGTGAAAGCTAGTTAGCAAGCAGGTTTCAATAGTGCGTTTAGCACATAAGACTTTATTTTTAGACTTGCTGATTTTCCTACTGAGCAATTAAGTAAATCAATAAATTAAAAAAAAAAATAAATATTGTGACTGAAGCTTTTAAGCACTGGCGCTTAAATGCGTACGAAGCTTTTGCGTGTGCGAAGTGAAAGCTCAACTGTGTGAGCAAGTGTAATAAAGCTTTAAAAGCGTTGATATGGCTTACAAAAAACGATCAGTTAATACTAGTATGGCATGCGAACGACGAAAGCTCGCATGAAAGCTCAATCGATTTGATATTAACTAAGTAATAATTATTTTGATAAGTGCGTGATGTGATGAGTCTTTCGGCAATAAGAAATTGTATAAAAAAGAGGTTAAACATTTAAGAAAATTTTTGTAATTTTATTTGTATGGAGAAAGCGCAAAGCAGAGTGATGTAGGAGAGAGAGAAAGAGAGAGTTGTTTGTCGAAAAACATAAACATGATAAAAAAATAAAAGGAAAAACAAAAACAGTACAAAAATTTAGCGGTAAACTAAAGTAAGCGAAAAGCGCGCAATATTAGGTGCGGCATAACGGTTTTGAGTCTTCGTGCAAAAAACAAATATTAAAAAAATTAAAAAAAAAATGTAAAAAAAAAATAATAAAAATTATTTTAATTCTTAAATTTCATTTTATGTAATAATGACTAGTAATTTGAATAGAATCTGCAACATTTTTTAATAAATAAAGTACCGTTAAAAAGGCGTTTCGCTTGCTTCTTAGGAAAACATGAATAAAATCGCTCAATTACCGCCAAGACAATAATTGTAAATTAATGGTAAATAATCGAAACACAAATCATAATAATTTTAAACAATTTTACAACAACAAGAACACATTCGAGTGACAATAACTATATTATAAAAATTATAAAAAAAAAACTACAAAAATTCAAAACATTGTCTCAATAAAGTTTTCAAAAGCTCCTACATATGTGTTTATAAAATTTCAACTCTACTCTGTATTTATTATATTATATAACAGCAATGGCTCTTTCGCTCTTGTACAAATTAATGTAATTGTTGCATGCAACCACACTACACATATGTTCACTACTACATATATACATATATATATATATATAGAAATAGTTTTAAAGATATTTATGTCGCTCTAGCAACCCTAAATCAAGCTATATATATTATATAACTTTTATGTATGTACTATGTAATGTTAGATTTACGAGAAAAAATCCTATTGCTACTTTTTTGTGAAAATAAGCTGCAAAGAAATTTTACTCTAATAATTAATATATTTAATATTTAACTGTAATCTCATTGTTTTTAGTCTCTAAGTTGAAGTGCCATAAAATGTGTTGAGAGAAGAGCGAGCAAAACAAAAACCACGAACAGCAATTACAAGAACTTCAAAAAAAATTTTGCAAACAAAAAAAGTTAGTTAAAAAAAGAACACAACAACAAAACAAAAACAATGAAAATAAAGTTCAAGGCTACACTTTATGGTGTCTACAAATATTGAAAAATCTAATACGCTCGTGTCTTATTCTTTTGGTTGGTTTTTAGTAACGGTAAGTATATCACTCGGCTATATCTTTGTGAACGGTGTCTACGCCAATAAAGAAGATGTTCTAAATATGAGATGAAAATATAATCTCAAGCAGTTAAAACTTCGAACAAGTAAGGAAGTGCTAATTTTGGGTAAAGCAGAATATGTCATACATTTACTTGCAAGGATTAAAGGTAGGGTAACCCCTACGTTGGTTAGTTATGTGAGGTCTAGCACAAATTTTCACCCGATTCTTTTCATTCTGGGCACAAGGTAGCACCGTCATCAGTACAACACGCTTTTACAATTTTATTGAGAGAACTCATATATTGACCGATATATGCAGTATGAAATCAGCCCGAAGTTCGGAAATCTTTATATATGGTATATGGGGACTAAGTGAAATACTGACCCGATTCAACCAATTTTTAACATCCAAATATACTATTATCTGAAAATGATTCACTCCAAGTTTCAAATATATGTGTCACATATTATTGAGCGATATTTTCAATAAAAAGCCAACTATTAACACTATTGTCCACATATTCGGCTGGAACAGTTTTGGTTCGATTAGAACAATTTTTGGTCATAAATTGACATACTTCACACTCTACACTATTAAAGCAAAATTTTATCGTGTTACTTTACTTTGCTTCTCGATTTATGTACATATATAGTGGAAAGTGAAAGAATCAAATGAAATTTTGAATTGAGTTATATGGGAAGTGGGCGTGGTTATAATTCAATACTTAAGAATGTCAGAAAAATGTTTCATACCAATTTTTGTTAAAATCGATCGAGCAGATCCTGAGATATGAGATTTTACATAAAAGTGGGTGAAGCCACCCCAATTGTCAGATTTCGACAACGGTTCGTATAAGGACCTCTCATAGTATCTCGAGTGTAAATTGAATGTCTGTGTTGTATTTAATCATTAATTTAGCGCGCTTTTAAAAGGTTTAACAGTACCGTTATCTGGAGGGTCATTATCCGATTCTATCCATTTGGCAGGAGTTGTTACAATATTTGCCACGCCCTTCTACGAACTCATTCTCCATTTTTTGAAAAGTAACAGGTGCACCAAGCTTAATTTTTTCATTTTTCGATATCGCCATTTGTACTCAAGTTATAGCTTGCACAGACAGTCGGACGGGCGGACGGACAGACAGACAAACATGCGAATTTTAACTCGTCTCGTAATCCTGATCATTTTTATATATGTATACCTACATATTATGTATATCTATCTCGATTAGTTTTAGGCGAACAAAATTATTATCCTCTGTAGCAACATGTTGCAAATGTATGGAAATTGACGATCTATACATATATTTAAACAAAACGAAACAGCCGAAGGATGTTGGCCTCTCGGCCTGCGAGTGTATGGAAAAGTTTTATATGTCCTGGACGACAGTTTACATTGACAGATCAGAGAGATCTCCAGATTTGGCTCTTTTTACTTACGTTTTGAGCTGTTTTGAAAATGAAAGCGAACGTTAGCCATCCATTCGCCATTGATAAGACAAACAAAAATTATTTCCTTATATTTTTTGAATGTGTTCTGTGCATCTTAAAACTCATGCCTTTAGCCAACCAGGTGAATCTGGAATCAAAATCAATCGCCTTAACTAATTATGAGAAGCTTCAGACGCTTTGTCTATACACAAGTGTTCAAACCCATCCCTGCCGAATATTGCAGACAATTCCTTCAGTACCATACATAAGTGTTCTGAAATCAATCAACTTCGATAATTGTGAGAATTTAAGTACATTTCAACTAAATATTTAGCACAATCTAATTTTGAGAAATGCTAACGAGTTGACAGTCCTTGGTCAGCTAAACGTGCGGTTTCGTTTAACTTGTCAGTCGTCAGGTTAAGAAAACCCAACTGTCAGTATTGAGAGTCAGTATTGTGAGTATTGTGGTATTAACATTCAATAAATCATAAGATAGATTAGATTAAGTTAGTTTAGTATACTAAGGCAAAATATTACTAACGAATTTACAGCGCTGAAAGCTGACTTCGGCTACGTTTCCCTCACAGTCATAAGCTTTCAACTAGAAAACATGTTCCAAAGTCTTGAATTTTAAACAAAATGTCTATATTATTTGCGTAGGTGAAAAGGTGCTCTAGAGGAAACCAAAAGCTGATAAGCGAAATTTGAAGAAATGTATTCTTAGATAATTTGTACTAACATGAGTGTTATTTCAAAAATATGTACATAGTATAAAATGTATTTGTTTATCCGGTGCAAATGACCGCAATATCTAAACATGTTGTATCACAATGATTAAGGGAATTATTCACAAAAGCACATAGAATATTAATTACCGGCATTTAATCTTATCGTATTTAGTTGTATATATGTTTCGACGTTTGTGTGGTGTGACGGAAAATGAGCTTGCAATTTACCAAATGTTGATAACCCAGTCCCGTATATTTAAAGATATGCAGGAACATCTGCACCGACGAACCTATACATAAGCTAGTATATAATACATACATACAWCTGCACATATGCGAAATATTTTTTTCGTTTATTGGGTTTACATAGGTAAACCCGTAAAAGGCTGATATCTTGTCAATGGTGTGTGAACTGTGGGATCTAGTAATATGACAACCCATGTGATACACTCACGTACTGTGAAATTTTAAAGATATTACGTAAGAGTACTTTTTGGCTTCTAGGCCAATAAAGAAGAAGAAGATTTGTATATCTATATATTATTGTGGACGTGGTGTGATGAATCGTTGATTATTTTGAACTTTGAATGCAACCCTGTATTTTGCATATTGACAGTAATCTTGTAATATAATTCTAAAATTCGCTCCATCCAAATTTGGATCGTGGATCTACTAAGGACACTCGGAACCATAACTGTGTACTTTGTAAGTGACTTTTGCTATAAATTCAGAAACAAATTAGCAAATTAGGGAGGAGAGAGGTCTCCATAGGAAGTTCAAATCAGGTGAACGGTGGTTACGGAATGATATGGGTTGGGTTTTTGGCGAAATGATCATTCAATGCAAATTCTTTGCTCAACAAATTTCGACATCGCAAAAAACGAAAAACTCACTCTTAGCAGCTAACAAAACGACACGTATCTCAAACACTAATGAATATTTTGACATGAAATTTGACATAAATATAACTGACAGTACTACCAACCTAAAAAAAAAACAATAATTATCCAAATCTCGCAATAGTGCAGCTTCCAGTAGATAATAGACTATCTTACTTACAACACAGAAGCCGTCATGAGAACGTTAAGCGCTAGCATAAGCGTCAGCTGGCTGAGCCACTAACTTTCAAGTTTTAAAACTAACGATTGATTAACTTCAAGTAGATAAAATCACAGGAAAGGGTTTTTCTAAGACCCCTGAATCTAACAGATCCTCAGTCTATCATAGTACATATTATATAAGTGTCAGGCCAGGGACCTTTCAATTGATCTGTTAAATCAAGAGGCATGCGTCAGCTAATTTGTTCATGGTGATCGCTCTTTTACGAATCGTTTGGTGCAATAGCACGGAAATATTGAGCAGAGAGTAACTGCTTCAATATTGGTATAAGGCAAAATGGTAGGTGAACACTAAAAATCTACTTTAAAGAAGTTTAAGAAAGTGAATTAATTGAAACTAAAATTGCCACTGACGTATCACTTATTTAGGCAAATATAAAGTTTTATAATATTATATGCACTACATTATATTTATTATATTAGATTGTCAAAAAAGTCTTGCGGTATTTTTTATTAGTTTTTTTTTTATTTTATAACGGTTTGATGACTCATGCCCAGCTCTTTCGACCAATTCAGCGATTTTATCGCAATTTCCGGCGACAGGCCTTCCGGAGCGTGGCGCATCTTCGACCACCTCTACACCAGAACGGAAACGTTGAAACCATCGTTGTGCGGTGGATTTGGAAACTGTATCGGGTCCATAAACTGCACAAATTTTATTGGCGGCTTGAGATGCATTCTTGCCTTTATCGTAGTAGTACTGTAAAATATGCCATATTTTCTCTTTATTTTGCTCCATGTGTGCGGCGCTATAACTCACGAACGACTTAAAGGAAACGACAATCAATCAAACTCGTGTTAGCGCGTGAAATCAGCTTTCCAAAAATGTATAGCATGACCCGATGCGACGAATAAAACTAGAACTACGCGCTCTCAGCGCCAACTATAGAAAATAACGCAATACTTTTTTGACAATAATATATTGTATTATAAAATATATTCATATATTCTCGAACGTACATATATACTTACATATATTCATATATTTTATATTCATATATTCATATATTTTATCGCTGCGCTTATCTTGCTCTTTGTTAAAAATGTTATGTATCATTA